ACCAGACTCAGCATTATTAAGAGTTATGGCAGCACTTTGGTCTGTCAAATAAATGGTTTTTGGTTTTTAATCGTGTAGTTGCAATGCTATTGAAGAAGAGCTTTGTAACATCCCCACTTTTCTTTCCTTTTTTTCTTTTTTTACTGAAATTGTGTTTGTTTTGTTTTTAGGCGCAATGTATAAATAAGGGGGATTAATAAGAAAATCTCATGATTATTCTATTTACTGTATTAAACTCTCAGTCATCCTTCTCATAATTAGACTGAAATAAAAAAGTAAGCTTGGACCAAAAATCTAAGTAATACATTCAAACTCTAAGTTATTATGGCAGTAAGTCTCTTTTGGTCTCCATTATGGGCAGCAATTTAAAAAGAGGTAGACAGAACGAAAGGGAGAACCATATACTGCACACAGTCAGGTGCACCTTATAATGCACTGACTGCTTCCCCCCTTAGTTCCGTTTTCCTACAGTTCTTTCCCGCCCCCCACCCCTCCATTCCTGTCACTGCTTGTCTGGATGTGTCTGACTCCAAAGAGTCCAGCTGTTTGCGCCCTCCCAAGTAGTGTTTCAGCATTTTATGACTGCTATTTGCACCTAGAGAGCACAGAGCACAGTTTGTAATCTGATGACTTTGGCTATTTAGGAGAGGCAGTAGCTGACCTAATCTCCTAACATAGTGACTTGCATACACACATACTCTGAAGAAGTAGCAGATGCGTGTTAATTTATATAGGGCCCAGCTTGAGTTTAAAGAATGTGCAGAGTTTGCAGACTAAAGATATCATACAAAGATTATCTATGAGGTATGTTGGTTGTTAGGTTTGGGAAGACAAAGAGGATGCATGTTGCTTTGTTTAAGACAGAAACCTTTTCAATTCACTGTACATACAGTGCACTGCTATCACATATGGTTTTCTGTACTACACATAAAAGCTTATTCTGCGCACTAGATAGAAAAAGTTGCATCCTGTTAAATAATACAACATCTACATCTGGATTAAATATCTTAAACACAGGACAAAAAACACAAAGACAGTATTCATTAAACAAAAAGGGGCATTGATCTGTCTTGAGGAGAAACAGTCCATCCAGTCAGTGTGACGTAGATGAAACAGAAACTAGAGGATGTGTGGAGAGTGACTCATGCTTCTTGTTATGATTGAGCCTCAAACAAAAGCCATACCAGTAGCTCATCCATAATTTACAGAAATCATGAGATTATGGAAAATAATCATTTGAAATTTAATAAGGAACCAAAATTTGAGAAGATATGGGTTGTTATAAACATATTTTAAAGTTTAGTATTCAGTATAGAATCGATGATCTACCACACTTAGGTTTCACTAAATACAGTAAATTCCTACAGAATGTAGGGAGCGTTGACAGTATGTGGTTGAAAATAATCATACACATTGATCTCCATAAATCCCTTGTTTTGCTAAGGATCCCTGGAATCAGACCCCTTAAGATCTCCAGGACCCTATCTGGCAATAATTGTGTAACATACCAGACAATACATTTTGATGCACAGTATAAAAGAGCCAGTGAAGCTTGCACTTGATATGACAACCAAAACAGCCTCAAAACTTCAGCACCAAAGACAGACCAGAAAAGACAGACCAGACTGAATATAGAAACTGTAGAATATAACATGTGCATGCACTGAAAGGGGAGAGACAGAAGTGGCCATCAGACAGTGAACACTGTCACCATGAAATGCAGTCATAGCTATCATGATGTTCATGCTTGTTGACATGCTTCAAAGTGACTTATTAAAAAGGCTTTGGCTAAGGTTGCATCATTTTTTGAATTACTACCTCTGCATGATTTTACTGAATTGTTTGTTGCATGCATGCATACTTATCTGCATACTGTCCTGAATAGTGTTGTATGCAGATATAAACAACAGTGAAAGCAAAGTCATTTTTGGAAATGTCTTACTTTATGAGTTAGTTGGAGTTGGCAGTGGGGTTCAAAATAAGCTCAGTGTAAGTAATCCAGCTCTGTTCATATCTTCACAGTAAATACACAATTCTTCTTAAGACGGAATATCAGCCAGATGACCCTGTCAACTCCAGACTACTCTTTAATATATATCAGAACATGGCAGTTTCTCAAACAACTCCTAACTAAACAGTCAAGTCCACAGGCTGCAGGTGCAAGCCCTATGATTGTATGTTTCCATCATGGATTTCCTCTGTCTCATCTCCTTTTACTGCCATTGGAGTGAGCTGACCAAAAATAACTCCTGATGACAAAAAACAACATAAAAACGACAATTTCCTTTTATTCCCCTCCTCCAAAAGCGTCAGCTCTCTATAACTAGGATCAAGATACTAAATCACCAAAAACCTTTGTGTTAACTATCACATGGCACCAATTTTCCTTGAATAGCTGCCTGAGCTCCACACTAATGCCCCAATGCTAACCCCTCCTCTAAAACCACCCACCCAGATAGAAAACGTATTTAGCATGAGAAATTTTCAAGGTTGACAGCAACGCAGTTCAGGTCAGAGGCCTCACCGTGACTTGGAACCAAATTATGACAATCGCCTGTGATTACACAGCACTGGGGCGGGTGCCATGCGGATGACAGGATCACGCACCGGTTGTCACATGTGATTGTAAACCAACTATCCTGGCTGTGGTTCCCGGCAAGGATTATTTCTTGACCGTTGGCAGGCAAGCTGCAGTACAGAGGAAGGTGGTAATGCTTTAGCAAGCCTCTTTCTTCTTTCTTTCTTTTTTTCTAAATAATTGATCCCCCACCCTCTGCTTTCTTATTCCCCAAAGAAAACTGGAGTGTATATATCAGGGTCCGTCATTAATAGTTAGTGCAAAATTGTCACGAATGGCGAGGAAAACCACAGCTGTGCTTTTCTGGGGTGTTCACATAGAGCAATAGAAATGACAGTGCTGGCGAGTTGCTGATGTAGCAAAATATGAGACATGTCTGAGACATGGGGACTTCATTATAAGGTATCCATTGTTTTTTTGTTTGTTTTTTAAAGGGCCTAAAAGATTATAATCATCTCAATAAGTACTGGGCCAAAAAGTGTGTTTCCGGCTGTAAATATGTCTCCAAATGTATTTTTGCATCAGTGTTTGTGGTTAGTTTTTGTCTGTCAAACACCAGTTACTGTTCACTAGGAAATGATCATTATCTGACACAGCAACACCTGTAAACAACCACTGCTCTCCACTGGCTTGCGGTAAAGGCATAAAAGTTAACCATGGGAGTTCAACAAGCCCTATTTTTTACATTTTCTCTATGTTCTCTCTTTTGTTGTTAGACTATGCAAAGTGTGAGCATTCATATTTTTATAACATTTAAGTGACTATGCCAGTTTGGTTGCTGTAGAACCAATAATGCACAAATTCGACATAAATGCATGATCACTTTCTTTAGCCGCACTGCGTGATGAAAGCTGTAAAATGTACAGTCATTGCGGTCACAGCTCAGAAATCTATGTTGGCTTGTATTCTCAGATTTGATAATTTTTAAATTCAGTGCTTAATACAGTCACAGTATTTTCCAAGGACTTTTTCCACTGGTTTCCTGATCTGTGGTTGATAGGCTGGCGTGGAGAGGCCTGGGTTAGTGAGTGATGATGAAATGGGGAAATCTATAGTAAGAAAAATTATAGCAACATCAAACACATCACCACAAGAATTGCAACAAGGGACACTTGAATACACACACACACAGATAGGCACATATCTGCACACATTTAAACAAGGAAACATTCGGTTGCAGATGTTTATCTGTCTTCCCAGCTTCAGCCCTAAACCTTTGTTGTCCCACATATGCATATCCGCCTTGTACTGTGCTGAGACTGTCATACACACTCACCCTGGGCCAGCCACACCACTGCCACTGTGTCAGTCTGTTCCTGTCAGCCAGCGGGTTGGCTGCAGTGATGAAGGACCTCACACTCTACTTAGTGAAAAAAAACCTGAGTCAATTAAACGTATTTTAGGGAAACCACTGTTTCTGCCAAGAACAGTTACAGGCCAAACACTACTTCATGCCAGTTGACTGTCAACACAGATGTGGTTCGTGTTTGAAGAGACTGGGAGAGACAAAGAGAGAGGCAGAGAGCAAAGGAAAGTAATCTCCAAGTGTCTGAATCAGCTGTGTTGATAGAAGTTTATTGAAAAGGGAATATGAAAAAGAGACAGAGACAGGCTGAGATAGAGAGAGAGAATAAGGTCAAACTAAGAAAACCTGTGTTGAACCTTCAGAGATTTATTATGGGCTTTCCCAAAACTTCTCTCCTAAAATGTAATGCATAAGGCACTGGTACTTAAAGTGTGGCCCTCCAAAAACAGCAGTTTCAAAGAGTGAGAAATGTTCTAAGAATGTACTTTTAAAAAGGGTTTGTTACATATTATATTTTTGCTAGATTTCTAATGCGTCTAAGTAAGTGAGGAATGTCTAAAACCTCTAGAACTGTGAGCGTATACATTGTTTACAAGAGAGATGCCACCTCCTTTCATTCTCACACGGGCCCTTTTGTTTGAAACCCGTTCTATCTGACTGAGTCTTATTTAGATTTTGCTGAGATAACGTCTGACCCTGAACAGCAAAACAGATGTTGAACACGAAGAAACACTGCCAGTAATTGCGCTGCACAGAGGTTTAGGGGAGGGTTAGGTTCGCCATGACCCAAGAGTCAAATTTTGACCAACTGCTGACAGAGACAGATTGGGAAGCTAAATAGTCGTAGGTTATTGTTTTGTTTGACAGCAGCCCTTTAGGCTATTTTTTGAGAAAAATATATACTCTACAGGTCTTTTTTAAATATGTTATGGCACAGGTGTAGCTATTTGAATAAAGGCAGGACAAGTATGTGTAAAGATTTAAGTCAATACAAAGTTTTGGTAAATACTGTATATTTGTGGACCTAAAATTGTACATATATTTCTTTGTCCCCGTTTGGCTTAGTTGAAGAGATAATGCTGTAAAGCTAATGGGACTTTTTTGTTTTGCCTCTAGTCAGGTTTGATCAGAACACAGGATGCAGACTACTTCCTGAGACCTGTGTCCCGCAGCCTCGCTCAGAGAGAGAACTTTACAGCCCCCTTCAGTCACCAGCCACACATCCTCTACAAGAGCAAGAGGGACTCTCGGACAGAGCAGAGCGGTAATGACCCTCGGGTGCTTCAGAAGAGATCTTCAGATTCCACTCATCACAAACCACAACGACACTTTGTCACAAAGAGATCCATAAACTCACATACGGACTCCACCTACAACACGTTTAATGAAGATCAACACAGGGGCCTGCAAAAAGAGCAAAGTGACATACATGGTTATCACCATGGCAACGGCGACCATATGGAACATCATGCCGATGGCCATCACCACAACAGTCATCGCCATGACAATGACTACAGGCATGGAGAGAAACAGAGGCAACACTTCTGCGGGAGAAGGAAGAAATGTATGTAAGGGCAATTTCTCATTCTAATCCACATGTAGCATGAAGCATTATTAGTATAGTCCAGTTCTCTTCATGAGATATGTTTATTATATGTATATATACATATATATATATATATAAGTAACAGGGAAACAGACTGTAGACTGACAGACTCACACATTTTTCTTGTTGATACAAGATGTCTTTTGAAATACTTCAACAACCCAATAATATTTTATAATGAGGCTTACTCACCTCTTTTCTCCCACGTAAGGGAAATTTGCTTTTGGATATTTTTTTACTTAGCATATTTTGTTCTGAACATTTGACACTTAAATAAGAATGTTCCCACCTAGACATACCTATGACATTGCATATTTTAGACACTATTATATTCTTAAAGTTCCAGATGTAACTAAATTACTGGTTTGAACTCAAAGAAGTTAAGCCACATTTTAGGAATTACCACACCAGAAAAGAAAAAAAGATTGACACATGATAATAATTCTATTTGTTGACATTTCCAGTTAACTCTAGGAGTCAGCCCCCCAGTGTTGTGGTTGGTTGGTGTAAGGGGAACACAGACACCACCATTAATAAGTTCACATATCAACGTTATTCAATGCCAATATTACCATGAGTCATTACGTTCTGCAAGATGCTTACAGTACTTGTGTAGTAAGAACATCACATGGGGTATCATTAAGCAGACACAAACATCCTATGCTACCATTTTAACACATCATTAGCTCCTGTTGTGTTAAAGAGAGAAAATAACGTGTGTTTTTACTGACTTAACAAAAGAGTAGTTTATACATCCATTCCTGCAGCTGCATTTTTGACTTATCAGTCAATGTTTAACTGAGAAGATGTTGTAACCTTTGAACACAATATCAAATTGACATGTTTGGTAAATTTCTTGGAAAATGATCTGGAGGTTAGGACATTTTCAAAGGAGGTTTTAATTTATATTTTTATGTGATGGAAAATATTTCCTCTGAAGATTATTATCTCAATTTATGTTGACGTTTTTGGTGACATTAGTGACATGACCAGTGAAAGGTTAAGGGAAATGTTTAACATTCATGTTACACTATGACAAATGTTTGCTCTCAAGAAATTACCACAAGATCAGTTAACATCGCCGGTGTCAAGGGGGTCATTGGAAAGAGAGGAGGCAGGGATTGGACTGGTACCACCGCCATTACCCTGCAGAACCCCAGCTGTCTGTCCCTTGTGAAAACACACTGATGTTTACATTCCCATTGGATGACTTCACTGAACACCTGTGCCATGTTTTAGTCAAAAAAAGGCACTTTGGTCGCTCACCTGCTGTCTGCCTAAACAAGCAAACCTTCTAGCCTTTATAGTTTATCGCTGCCAGGCACTGATGGGTGAAAGCTTTGATAACCTGAAAACATAGAAGTGAAGATTTGAGGGGATAATGTCACAAGATAAAGTAGTTTTAGGCTTTGCTTTGACTGTACTACTGACCTTGTGTCATGTAGAAGTGAATATGTATCGACAGTATGGTATGGATGTGACACATTTTTTACCAAAGGCAGCCTAGCTTCTAATGGAGAGCTAAAAACAAGGCAAAGCTGGGCAAGATTAAGTGTGTGTGAGTCACATGTTTACTTAACAAAGTGCTGATAAGTTTTCACAATAAGTTCATATTGTGAATTTATTATTGCAATTTATGTTATTTTTATAGTTTCCCTATAGTGAAAAAAAAGCTTATCTTATCTATGACACACAATTTTGGGCACCATTCAAAATGACCCCTATTAACACTGATTTCAAAGCTTTCATACAACTGTTGCACATGGAGAAAGAGAAAGTAAAGTGTGCAACCACATACTGTAGTTTCACACTTTACTTAATGGTAGCATAACACTGAGACTGCCAGAGTCAACAACAGAAAAAAAGCTCAGTTTGCAGTTTATCCATGACATCAGGTCATGAAAGTAAGAGTATAGTTAATCATCCAGAATGGTTGTCAGCTACATGCCAGAATCGCTGGTTAACAGTCGCAGGCAAAGTCTAGTGGCTATAGGTCAATTTCAAATATTGTGCAACATATAGTATAATCAGCTGTGGGAAGGAAGGCTTGTATATTTTTTTTTATGGACGTCATAACTGCTATTTAATTGCCATTATATGTCCGTTTCTTTTTCTTTCATCAATCACAACCTACTATACGGTACAATAATCATGTTGACTCTGCAGCCACAGTGTGCTTCAATTTAATTCAGTTTGTTCAATAGTTGTTCCTTTTTTTTTCAAAACAGGCATTACATATTGCATTTTCACTCCCTTTTTCCTCTATCCTGTTTTATTCAGACATGCCCAAACCTCCAGAAGGGGATGTCTTTATCCTTCCAGATGAGTACAAGTTCGTTCCCAGGAACAAAAGAGCCGTGCTCATGAAGAACGAGGGCAACCAGAAGCTCAATGTGGAGATGCTAGTGGTGGTGGACAGGAAGATGATGGACAACCACGGCCATGAGAACATTACCACATATGTTCTTACTGTGCTAAATATGGTAAGGGAACTCTAATGCGGTACACTGTATGACACCATAGACGCTAAAATAAAAACAGAAATAGAAGTTTATAGATTTTATTGGAGGTGTGATATTTCCTGTTTGTGTAAACCAGCTTGGCTCTAGAGACGGTAGGCCTAATGTCGGCCTGTGACTGTAATATCTCAACTATCATTTGATGGATCGTCAAATTTTCTCCACCGTGAGGTACACACAATAATTATTGTGAAATGTCTCAACAACAATTGGGCGCAGACTTTCACGCCCCCCCCTCAAGAACTTAACTATTCATCTAGCGCCACCATCAGATCAAAATGTTGATATTTCTAATAGGGTACTTTGTTTTATGACCTAATGCCTAAAAAAGACTCAGCCTAAGCTATACTTTGTGTTTAGTGCTAATTAGCATAGGTTAGCATGCAAACAGTAGCCTGGAAATCTAGCTGCTAAACATCAGCATGCTAACGCTGTCACCGTGAACATGTTAGCGTGCTGTTGTTAGCATTTAGCTCAGAGCACCGTTGGACGGCTGCCTCTCATAATGTGATGTAGGATGTGTTTCCTACGCCGTGTCTTTCAGCTTTGTATAAGAAAGGTGAGTCTTGCATTGCAACATTTAAAAAACAAGTGAATTTAACAACAGTAGGCTACTACAAAGCTGTGTTAGCTAGCAGTGGCTTTCCTCCCAAGTGAAGTTTTGGCATGTTATAGGCCTACACTTGGAAAATTTTAGCCTGACTTCAAACGTATATGTTTTGTCATTATTCAGCATGTAAAGGGAAAACATCAGCAAAAATTGATTTGGAAGCCATACATAAATGTATTTGAAGTTTGCCATCGCTTAGGGTTTAGTGACTTGACACCCCTGTCTTTCATTCATGTCCTATCAGACAGAGCACATCTGAAAACATGAAACTGATATCTAGGTGAGATCAGTCCCCCCCATCCCTCTCAGCTGATCTGCAGGCAAATTCCGTCACGCTCGTTTTGCTACTTAATGACTGACTGACAAATCCAAAGATAATCCGTCTATTTTGAAAACATAGTTCCCTTTAGTAGAAACCAAGTTGGAGCAGTCACAGCCCGCCTCAGAGGAGTCACCTAAATAAAGTATGGAGTTTCAAAGAAAACACCCAACCCCCTATACCCGACCTGCCAGATCTCATGGGTCCTGAAACGACTATTTAATATTTGCTGAAAATTAAATCTGATATGCCGTTCCAGCATTTGCATAGATTTATGTTTTCTTCGCTGACTGGAAAGACTTCAAAATGTTTTTGTAATTACTGCTTTTAAAAAACACACTGTACATTATGTACCACAAAACACTGAAGCTCTATGGAAACTGGTGGTTGTTTCTTTTATGAGGCAGTGAAAACACAGTGATTCACCGTATCTGTTGAATGGTGCAAATCTGAAACTCTGTCAAACACTGGTGTTCCAGGAGATCTTAGTTTAAGTAAGTGGTTTTGATTGCCTCTTTGACCTCAGAATTTTGCTCGAATTCAGTAACAAACCACAGCCATGTGCCTTCTCATGAGTCAGTGTAGAGGAAGACCAAACATCAGGAACATAAGGAACGAATGAGAGTGTTCCTTAAGGGGGAAAAAAAGGTTTAGTGAGTGGCACCTGAGGTATTCACAGGGCCCGAGAGAAAGACAGAGAGCCAACGAGAGCAAAAGATGAGGAGTCCACTTTCAAAGCCCAAACTGTTATGATTGATGGTCAGATATCCCTGTGAGTACAAAAAGCTGAATTGGAAACAGCAGTTGTGGCTGTCATACCTCACCGATACCATCAAAAGGGGTTTGTGTGTTATTTCTACAAGAATGTCAAGGTGTCACCGTCTACATGGTGCAAGAATTTATGGATCAAGAGTACAACAGTATTGATATCAAGACTTAAAGGTCCAGTGTGGATATATTGGCAGAAATGGAATATCATAATCATAGGTATGTTTTCATTAATGTATAATCACCTGAATATAGGAAAGGCCTCCCCTGGAGTCTGCCATGTTGAACCTCCATGTTTCTACAGCAGCCCAGAAGGGGCAAACCAAACACTGGCTCTTGGTAAGGGAGTTGTGATCAGCAACTACACCGCTGGATGCCACTAAGTCTTACACACTGGACCTTTAAT